CTTTCCCTTATGTGAACTGCAGTGGGGAAAATGGAGCCCATGATTTGTCTCGTTGGAGTGGGCTGGATGGGAAGGGGCATGGATGAACTGGGGGCCCAACCGAAGGCTGTCCCCAAGCACCTGAGCAGACGGGACCCACGGCCACCTTGGCCTTGGAAGTTCTCTCCTGGCTGAGAGTTTATTCACAGGATTAATAAGACGCAGCATTTACATGGAGCTTTAGGGTTCATAGCCTTCCATTTGATCTTATTAACTCAAAAGCCAGAAAGCAGTCAGGGAGCTGATGAGATAATCTAAGCTCTGAAGAAAAGAAATCCTCCTGTGTACCTTACTGTAAACCAGGAAGGTTTACAAATTCCTCTCGGGAATTTGAGTCATTAAAACCCCATGAGAGGACCAGGCATATCATTAATCTTGCCCTTTCTCCAAAAGCTGCACAAACAATGCTCTGGACTGTAGAACCAGCTAGAGGCAAACTACGACAGCCCTCCCATAGGAGGACCTAGGGCGTACAGACCTTTGGCTTTGCCCTATCAGCTCACAGCCTTCCGAACGGCATGCCAAAAAGAGAAAGACAGACGGACATGGTAGGCATATTATCTCTCCTAAAAGATACCATGTTAAGTCACGTATATGTCTGAGAACTTTCAGCCATCTAAAAGAACAACATGGGCATAGCTCAGATCTGAGCTTCTACTTCCTTCTCCTCTGTGATACAATCAGCAGCTCTGCTTTCAAGCAGCTAATTTAGGAAAAGCCCTCATTTTATGTTTCAAACAGTGACTTCCTAGGAACACCACACAATCCAACCTGTCTTCTGAGCTGCCCGACTAGTGAGTGGCTAGGCACCAACTCAAGCAGGCCCCTGACCATGCTTCCTGTTCCAGCTGGTCATCCACCCCAGGCAAGCTTGCTGCCCGCATGCCCCACCCTTCTGTCTCTCGCTCAGGGCTCAGTAATTGAGCCAGCATTACTGACTGTCCTTTGGACCAACTCGTCAATCCCCACGACTCCCCATACCGATGCTCTCCAGTTACCACTTATATATTGTTTCCTCCAGTAAGATGTAAGCTCCTTGAGGGCAGAGGGACTGTCTTGCAATGTATCTGTGTCCCCCGAACTTCCTGGAGGGCCTGGAATACAGTAAGTGTTTAATGAATGCTTTTTCCTTCCTTCGTCCATCTCCATGTTTTGGACATACTTCCTTTTCATCGGCTGAAACAAAATCTTTCAAAAGCTAGTTCGGATGCTGCCTCCTGGGTAAAACGCCCTGCTCAATTCTCTGTCTTTCAAATTTTCCTACAGCACTTTGCCCGCTTTGCTTCTGATATTTTAGTCCATGCCACTGCCCCTCTTTGAGGAGGGTCTCTGCAAGCAGGGACAGCTGGTTTTGATTTCTCTATCACCAGTGCCCAGTATAGCTTCTGGCACATAGACGTTTAACTTGCCCTATGACCACAGGGCCAGACACATGGTAAAGCTCAATAAATGTTTGTGGCTTTACCTTAACTTAATACATGTGGCTGAATTACATTTGTGATTTTACATAACACTGCTAGAATATCTATAACACAGACTACATATTATACTATATATAGTACATAATGTATGCTATATATACACTATAATATATATGTATTATATATTATCTTTGCTTAGAGTGTTTTATTCTTTCTTAATTTCAGTTATCTGAAGAAAAATGGATCTTCTTTCCCCTATCCTAAAATGTACAAAAGTCCAGTCCTTTGGGACAGGGGAGGGTGGTCAGGCAGGACAACAGGCAGATTGGCTCCTCGTCCTGCCCATGAGTTAAAGAACTCAGAACAAGGTGCTGGGAGGGGTCCACCAAGGCTGCAGGCCTTACCCACAAAGCCCTAGGGTGAGACCAGACAGAAAACTCTATCCACCACCCTATAGGCCTTCCTCCCAGAATGCCTCCCATCCACAGATATTCTGCCTAGACTCACTGCCCAGCGTGTCTCCAAGCTCCTCATCCCAGAATCCCTGCCTGCCAGAGCAAACCCTTCTTCCCACCCCCTGCTCTCCCCTTCGCACAGACTGATCACAATCTTACTGCCTCCGCCCCACCCCGCCAGGTCACACCAGATTCACCAACCTCTCCCACCTATGCCCCTGGATCTCTGGCCTTAAATTAAGAAGCTAATGCCCTTCCTCTGGCTCTCACTTGACACCAGCTTCCCCTGAAAACAGTCCTGGGCAGGCTTAGCTCTCCTTCTCTCACGGGGGATTCACTGCTCCCAGGAAGGGAGGGAGCAAACACCTTGCTCCTCAGCACCCCTCTGAGCCTGTTTTTCACTACTCCTCAGCCACTGAGCTTCCCTCTGCCCACCTAGATCCTGGAGGCCAGCCAGCCTCCAGTGACCACCAGGCATTCTCTCTCCTTTCTTATGGAGCTCAGTACCTGACTCAGTCTTCTTCTCTAGCCTTCCTCCTCATAGCCCACCAGGGGCCTTCCCTGTCAATGCTGATGTTCTCCCAAAGAGTGGCTAGACTCTTCTAACCACTCAGGCCCAGGTCAGGGACTGACCACGGCTGATCACACAGCAGGGGCTTCATAAATACTCGCTGACTGATTACCAAGGGTTAGTTTGTTAATAAGAAATCCTAGCTAAACCCAATCTTCTGGGGCACGGTTGGGAGGCCGCTGGTCCAATGGGGATCATGGCATGGGGCAGAGCTCAGTGTGGAACCTGATGGCACTGTATCCAAGGCAGCTCAGCTGACCTGTCAACCTCAGCCTCCCTCAGAGCAGAGACTGCAGGTGAGGGCCCACCACGACCGGCCTGTTGGTGCTAAATCCTTCCCATGCGGCAACGTTTTCTGGGTGTACCTTGAAAGGCCACGCTGGCTTTGTCTTCTCCGAGCTTCTGCCGCGGGTAGTCCTCCTCCCTGGCCCTGCCTCATTTTTGCCTTCTATTCCATCAAGTACAAAGTCAAAGTGGAGCCTCATTTCCATTTGGATGCCCCTTTCTGAATGCACACTTTAATTGTCAATGCTGGCATTTTTGATCAGCCTTCACTATGATTTTTATTTTTTCATGTTTTAAAGAGTAAGCACTCCCAACCCCCCAATGCCTGGTACACAGCAGGTGCTCAATAAATGCTTATTAACTGAAAATGAAAAGCCAGCAGACCCTATAATATTTCTATTGAGGGAATTAAAATAGCAAAAATGTAAACAATATTGATTTTAAAATTTCTAAGGAAATGGCTGGAGAGTTGTAGAACAAGGACTGAAACAGAACAACCAGACTGGAAAATTACGTCAGCTGCTAATGTCTACCCAGAACCAAAGGAAGTGAAGACACATGCACAGCCCACAGGTTCTGGGGCAGTCTTTCGAAGGACTTCTCTGAGCTAGTTCTCTAAGAAAGCGTCACCCAGAGCCCACCGTCCTCTGGTGGGTCTTCCCTAGGCCCCTAGGGACTGTAACACTGGGGACCAGAGGAGGGGAGAGTGGCCTGCTCCAGGGTTCAGAACTGATCCAGGGCAGCTCACTTGAAGCCTGTCCCTGTCCTCTCAAAGACTGCTCTGGAGAAGCCAACACCTCAGCAGGAGGGCAGCTCCTGCTCCTGTTCTTCCCAGCCAAATGGGAATCTCCCAGCATCTCATCTCTCCCGGGGCCCCTAGAGCCTCTCCCCTTGACCACCAACTCTTCTCCCAGACCATTATTCGGCAGAGAGCTCCAGCCTGAGGATTGGGAAATAGTCAACAAAGACAATTTTGAAGAGTGTTTGCCTCTTTCCACAGTCACTGTTCCCACTGGAAGGACTGCCCCAACGGCCATCTCCAGGGGCTGCTCATTTGGTAACCACCGACTCTGGGGAGGCATTTCCTTACCGGCCTAGTTGGAATGAACCAGAAAGAGGAGAATCCAGGGAGTGAGGAATGAAGAGACCCTAAGGTGCCAAGGTCAACGGCCCCACTTCACGCCCCAAACGCAGATTCGCTTTCGGCAGAGTAAACAGGCAGTGAGGATACAGATGAGGGTCGTAATAAGCTGAGAAAGACTAAGGATACAGAGGGAGCTCTCCCAGTCGTTCCTATCCTCAGAAGGCTTGAGCACTGAACTGTTTCAATCTGCGGGAACCAAAGTCAAGTCACCAAGCACTGAATAAGTGCTTATTAGGGGCAAAATCAGGCCTTGCCCTCCACAAGCTCCCAGAGAAGCCCGCTTTCTCTGAGTCTGTTCCAAGGCTCTGGCCCTACGGACGAGCTCCCTAAATGGGCAGCCTGACCTCAGTAAACCACCACACACACTGCAAGTGGTGTGCGCAGTGCCTCAACAGGGCAGCACTTCCCGCTCTCCTTATAAAACTAAGAAGGTTGAGGGTGCTCACTGGCTGATTATAAAATGCTAATTCTAATGGATCTCAGTGGCACGTTCCTTACGCCACTTCTCTCAGGAGGCCCCGGAGGCTCTGTGGAGGCGAAGGTGATGAGGCAGCTGGCGCTCCCGAGACTCTCTAAGGTTTGCTAAGCACTTTACCATCTTACGTGATCCTCCCAACAACCTGGGGCAGCAGGTGCTGTTTTCCAGATGATGAAACTGAGTCTGAGAGGATTAAGTCACCTGCCCAGAGTCACACGGCTAGTAAGTGTCTGAAACAGGATCTGAGCTTGGGCCTTCCTGACTCCATGTCTCACGCTCCATCCACTGAGTCCCTTCACTACCATTCATCTAGGAGAAGCCAGCGCAGGGTAGCCCGAGCCTGGACACTGCCTGTTACCATCACATCGGAATTGCTAATCTCTGGAGTCACCAGAGCGCTGTGAGCTTCGGCTGGGGGGGCCCAGCCCAACTCTCACTGCCTTCCATGTAACCGTTTGGGACTTTCCACAGATTCCCCGGACATGTAAAGATGACCCAAAATGAAAAGAGCTGAGGCCACACTTGCCTATCTGAAGATGCTCTCACACCGTAAAAAGCTCACCTGTGGTATTTCTCAAGGTACTAGACTGAGTATTGGGAATCTTACCTTGGTGAAGATGGCCAATGGCATGCCATATTGGTCCTCTTCCAAACCAGAGATGAGTCCTGGCACAAACACCACCTGGCCCAGGTTAGCTTGAGGCTGCACAGTAATTGGAGGGCTCTCGGAGGGTACTCGGTCCCTCGAAAGGAAGTGTGTCTGTTTATGCTCCACCTGTTCCTTTTCTCTCATGCTGGTGCTCTCTAAGACGCCAGGGTCCAGGGCCTCCCATTCATTTTCGGATGTCTCGGGGGTCACATGCACAGGAAGTCTCACAGGCTGGCCAGAGCCATCGGACGCTTGTGTGCCACTGGCATCTTTTGCTGTTCGGGCCAGGATCCCATCTGCCTTTGAGGCATCCCCTCCGTGGCTCCCAGAGACTTTTTTTATGCACATTCCTGAATTTGTATGCGACATGTCAGAAGCAGACCCAGAAACACAGTCATCTGCAGGACGGGTAGCTTGCTGGAGCCCGGCATCCTCAGAGAGGCTCTTTCTGGGCCTGTACTGGGAGCAGTCCCGGAGGCCATGTTCTATCATGCCTGCAGGATACAAGACACAACACAAGTGTGGCTCAAAACAGAGACGTGAAGAACATGAGATGAAATGGCACTGTTTAAGGCCCAACAAACTAGAACTGTGAACATTTCAACCTTTTAAAAACACAGGCTACAAAAAATTCTGTTTGAAAATAGAAACAATCTCAAAAGGGAAACATCACATTAAAATGACATTAAAAATGTAAACAAGTTTTATTCCAATGAGTTTTTTATACTAATATCACATGAAAGCCTCAGTTTTAGAAGTTAAAAAAAATAGTCAAAACTACTCTCTTACCTGGAAAAAGGGATAACACAGTCATTAGTGCACCTACCAATCTATTCACTGGAGAAATATAAAACAGAACCTGAAATGGATTCACAATTGCTTAAATTAGAAACACAGATTCAATTAGAAAACAAACTTAAAACAAATCTGGCTAATGAGAAATCAGCTATGGAAGAAACAGAAACCAAAACAAAGCAGCAAATCTGCTCAGCTGCCCTAGCTTCCTCGCTAATTAAATAGCATCACTTGGAGAGCCAGCCCAGGGGACAGGTTGGCTTTGCAACTTTTACTCTCTGGAGGGAGGACGTTTTCCAGCTCAGCCTACTGCAGAGAGAAAACTTGGGAAAACTTGCCAGTTCTTGCCTCCGTTTGGTGGGCAGAGAGGCCCAGGTGAGACCAGGCCTGAGGGCGAGGTAGCCAAAGCCCATCACTCTCAAGTGGACACTCTTGTTTACCAAGGGACCCAATGACACCAAGGTGTGTGACCCTTTGTCGACAGAACCACGTTACATGGGAGCTGCCACATCTGTTAGGGCTGCTGTGTCACAAGGCCAGACCCCCAAAACTTCTGTTCTCTTCTATTCAGAAGAAGAGTAAATGGGTATTGTATGGACAGAAAGATGCAAAGTATCACCACAGACTCGAGTTACACACCCCCCCCCCCCACGCGCCCTACTCAGCCTCTGTCACACTGGTCTCTTTTGTCAATGTTCTTCTATCTTAAATGATTTTCTTATTACTTTTTAATATTGGAGGCTCCATTAGATCTTTTGGCATTTCCACCATGCAAGTAACTCTTTGCTTAGCTCTAGAGGCAAATGCCACTCCTTTGCTGAGATGGTATGTTATCTGTTTATATCAGCTAAAACAAACACTTGCGACATTTGGAACACACACCAAAAGAGTCCTGATTCTATAAGAAAGACCTAAAGGCTGGACACGGTGGCACAGGCCTGTGTGTGATCCTTGATTCTGGGGAAGCTGAGGCTGGCAGATGGCTTGAGCTCAGGAATTCTGAGCTGTAGTCAAGGAAAGACAATCAGAGGCCCCAGTGAAGTCCAGCACCAATATGGTAAACCCTGGGGAGTAGGAGTCACCAAAGTATCTAAGGAGGGATGAGTTGGCCCAGGTTGAAAACAAGAGATGTTCAATGCTCCTGTGCAGTAGGACTGGGTCCTCCAGTGGTCTTGCACTTTCATCCTGGCTGAAGCAGGAAGACCCAATCTCAAAGAAAAAGAAGACTTGAAGACAAAGATGGCAGTGGAGAAGAAACATGGCTCCTTCAAGGGAAAAATGAGCCTCTCTCTCCAGCCTTTGCTAACAGTCAGGTGGCACTTGGTAAGCAGGTCTGATGGAGGAAAGTAAGCCTACTATAACAGATGGGGCATGCTGACGTCAGCATCAATGGGCATTTAATTAAAAAACCTCCTGTGTTGTGGCATAAAATACAACTGTATGGAACTGGCTGCTGCCCTGCAAGAGTTGGCTCCCCTCAAAGATCAAAAAGCCCTCATTTTCTGCATTAGATCTACAAACAAAAGGCACACACCCACTTCTACAGGCCCCTTCCACTGCCAGGTGTTAGGTTCATTCCAGCTAAGCTATTTAATAGGCAAAGAATAAACTTTAAATACTCTCCCAGGCCCTGCCCTTCAAATCCCACCTTTTTCTCCAGAAGAATCAGCTTAAATAGGATTAAGACCTGCCCAGAGAAAGAAAATAAGAAACCATAAGATGATTACAAATGAACCCAACCTCAATATTCCCACTCCTAGGGGTTATTTTTCAATTGCTATGAAACATCCCATTTTTATACAACTTCTGTTGCTAAGCGAATAAAGTCCTAAGGAAATTATGCTGAAAAAAAGATTAACTCTAACCTAGATGCTAACCTAATGCTACAAAGGTTATTTGTGCCTCTAAAAATGGGATACATTATTTAATGCTCCTGCCTTTTCTCAAAGTGATGCATCCCAGCCACAGGGAGAAAGACAGCAGCTGCTGGCTTGTCTAGAGAGCTACAGAAGTCCCTGTGAACAGGCTGGTCAACATTCACATATTCAAAATGGAGAGAGGTTGATTGGAAAATGCCTTATGCCTATGCCAATGACAGCAGACCAAAAAACAGGATGGACATTTAAAATGTTCCCCCCCAACTCCAGTCTTTAGACTCCCTTCTCGGTGGGGCACCTCAAATTCCACAGATGCTTGGCTAAGTCCAAAAAAAAAAATGGTGCTCCATGTTCTGATTGAGATCCAGACATTTAGACATAACCCCAGAGAGAAACAAACAGTAGTGATACTCTTTGTATTCTCCTTAGAGCATGTCCTGTCATTGTATTCTTCCTCTTTTTTTTTACACTTATAAATAAAACTAAGAATGAAATTTGCCTTGTAAAATCTTACTTAACAGAAAGTCTGTGATTAACAAAACTTCGGAGAAAATGGTTGCTATTTGTGATAGGAATATAAAAAAGTCATGAAAGAAATGACTCAGGTTAAACTAGAAATATGGCAGAGTTCCCTTTTATCTGGGGGGCAGGGAAGGGGAGGAAGCGCTGGAATTTTAGATCCGTATCTGAAGAAAGCAACATTTTTAAAGGCAACACTACATTCTGTCCAATGAACAAATGCAAGGAAAGTGCCTCCTACTTTTGCTTTTCGAGCCCAACAAAGAATCATACCTTGTGTCGAAATTGAAGGACCAGATCTCTTGGGGAAAGACCTGCAGTGAAAAGAAGCCAGTCTGTGAATGGCCCCTTCCCCAACTGCCATGTGGAGGGGAAAGGGGGCAAAGGAGCATGAACATCCCAAGATTAAATAAACGTGGCTTTGAAACAAGGCTGCATGGGAGACAAATATCTAGAGATATTCTGGGATCTGGGGGACAGGGCCTTTAGAACCATTTTTCCAATTGGGCAAATAATCTCATTTATGGGACAAAGAACCACCACTACTACCATGATCTGTCTTCCTGGCTTACCCGTTGTTACTGCTGCCCTTTCTGAACCAATCTTTTAACATTTTCTAGTGATAACTTTTCATGATCATTTAAAGGCAGAGTTTGGAGAAAATTTGTTTTCATACAAGATGCGTCATTGTGAACTTGCTTACGATTTGCATGAGGGATGTCTTTAGTGAGTACATTGTGCTAAGAGGAGAATCCACCACTGAGACTGCTTTTTATCAATATCAAAGAAGAACTCAATAAATATTTCCTGATAATGAGGATTTATTGAACAGCCACTGGGTCCAGGACTGTATGAAGACAGTTCTTGACCTCCCTGAAGATCTTCTAATTGGCTGCAGAGGGTAATACAGATATACATAACCAACTAGATGGATACTGTCTACACCTCCACTCTACACTGGGCCTGCACAGATAATACACATACTCAACATATGTAACAATGAGCCTGTATTGAATGCAGGGGGCAGAGGAGGCCTATGTGGGAGCGAGGAAGTTTGACAGATAACAAAAGTCTGCGACGGGTGACATAATGTATAGATGGCGACCACACTTCAGACAGTTCCAGCATCTCAACAGAGTTCCCTTCTGCAGATAAAGGCTAGAGACACACATCTGAGGAAAGTCTGCCCAAAGCTAGATATGTGCGATGAAAGCTCAAGCCATAATGGACAGAGGGAACCTCAGGGCCAGTAGAGCAGAGCCTGAGGACGAGACTGAACAGATCAATCAGTCTGTCCAGCAGGAACCTTGAGGGTCTCTTCTGGCTAGCAAAGTGTGACTTACCAAGGTATACTTGTGACCCTTCTATGGAAGCTCCTCCCAAGGAACTATTCATATGCTCATAGAGCTCCTAGGAAATGCAGATTTTAAGAGACAGTAATTATGACATTTCAACATTGTGAACTGGAAATACTGTAGAATCCAGTAGAGATAAGGAGAAAATGGCTATTTACTACTGGAGGAGTTGAATGTACTAGGCACCTCCACCGTGGAGACAATATGGGCCCCCTGCTTTACAATCTCCCTTCCCCCATATCCCTTCACTAAGAGCACAGGTTTTGTTTTTATTTCTTCAACCAGAACCAAGAGAGAGCTCAGAGCCGCAGAGCAAGACAGAGAGAAGCCAAGCCCCCTTCTGGGCCAGGATTAGCTCCTGATTCATATTCTGCTCCCTGCTCCTCTGCAGGACTAAGACGGGGTGCCCGCCGGCACAGTCACTGTGATGCAGCAAAAGTCAACGGCAGAGCTGGAGTTCGATGCCACAGGCAGGCAATGCTCAAGAAAACTGATGGCTCACTTTCCAGGAAGCAGCTGCATGATGCTTTGCTTTGGACTAGAGGGGATGGGTGTTAGAGGCCAGAGAAACTGCCCAATATCTTCACTTTACCAAAAGGACAGCTTTTTCATAAGCAGAGCACAGCAGAGAGAAATGACTATTTCAGGGATCCATTGTAATCGGGTGTTTCTTCAAACTGAATTCTCTTTTAGTTTACTGAATTATTCCTAATTAGAAGCTAATAGGGCTTGGCTTCCACACGCACAAGGGAGCTGCACATTGCAGAGGGGGTCCAGCCTCACTCATCAGAGATGCAACATGCCACTTTTCTGTCCAGGGTGTTGGCTAACAAATTACCTCTTTCACAAACACATCCCCACTTAATTTAATATATATATATATTTTAGCAGAACACACCTACAGAGGCACATAGATGCACATTATAAAATTACCTTCAGGATTGAAATTTGGGAAAAATCCTTCTCTTCAAAATAGGCATGTGTAATGAGCTGAAGTTTTGCTTGGAGTAAACCATAGAGAGGCTTGCAAGAGAAACAAAACATTGTTAGGGAGGAATTATCAAAAGTGAAGGAAAAATGAAGAGGAGGGAAAACAGGAGATTTCAAACGAACTACATTTTTTCCACAGAGTCACAAGTTGAAAGGGACCTCATGAGGTCATCCAGTGTCCCAGGCCCTTCTGTCTGCAAAGCCTCAACTGGCCAAGGGTGATGTTCAAAACACAGCCAATGAGCCCTCAAGGTACAAGCTGCCTTGATGAGCTGAGCTTCCATAGTGCTGGACTCTCCTGTTAGGTAGAGCCAACCTTTCTCCCAGTATCACTTAATGTCATTTCCCATGCAGTTCATGGGAACTAAGGCCCTATAGACTATGTCTTCCATATCATAAATGCTCATGTATTTGAAGACAGTCAACTAGCATTTCTTAAGCATCTACTATGTGCCAGCTGCTGAGTACAAAGAAAGGCAAAAGACCCTCTTCCCTCCAAGAGTTCACAGGAGCTTGGGGGAGACAACATGTAAGCCACTGTGGTACACTGGAGGTAATCACCAGAGGAGAGGCACTAGAGTTAAGGGGGACTGAGATTTTAGCTGGGACCTGAAGGAAGCCAGAAGGCAGAGATGAGGAAGGAGAGAATCCTAGGCACTGGGGGACAGCCAGCCAGTGAAAAGTCAGAAGATGGAGTGTCACATGGGAGGGTCAGTGAATGATGTCCTTCTTCCTCCACTGAGAATCTACAGCTTTGAAGCCTGTTCCTCTTCTCTGGACCCTTCTCAGGCCTTCACTGCAGCACTGTGAGAATCTGTGATGTCATCTGGGCATGTATTTCCTTAGGGATATAGACCATCAGCTCTCTGCGAAGGTGTGGAAGATGCCGTAGCCAAAGCATCTCAGGTCCCGGGGGACTAGTGGCCAGCGACCTCCTCTGCTGGCTCTCAGCTGCCAGTCTCAGCCGGTCCCTGAGCCCGCCCCTTGAAGCCTTAGCCTGGGGGGATCTGGCTGAACTTGCTCTCCACTCTGTCATCAAGAACCTAGGCTCAACTCCACCCCCATGAAGAAGTAATAAAAGAAAGGTTTCATGGAGAAGACGTTTCAGAGGAACTTGGAAAACCTGCATGAATGGAAGCTTACTTCGCTCAAGTGAGCAGAATCAGGAGAACCATTTATCCCAAACAAAGAACTCTGAAAGACTTCAGAACTCTGACCAGCCATGACTTTGGAGAAGCCATGACGAAACAGGCAACTTACCTCCTGGCCCAGAAAGAGGGAATGGACTCAGGGTGCACATAGAGCCTTTTTTTTTTAGCCATGGTTAATGTGGGAATTTGTTTCACTTGACTACGAATATTTGTTATAAGGGTTTTGTTTTTGTTTGCTAATTTTTTTTTTTAAAGAAAAAGACTTCATGGGAGGCCAATTTTTATATGCACAGATCAAAAGTGCATGCAATACCAATTGTGTTTATTACAAAAAGGGAATGATTGTTTCTTGGCTTTAAATGTCATTTTCCTTCACAATTTCATTTTGAGTTTTTGTTTGTTTTTTTTAATAATATTTTTATAGTAGTGGTTTATAGTAAATTATGGTCCATAATGAACATTCAGAACTTTTTTTTTTTGCCCAGACCACCCCATGCCTAGCTGTTCCTTTCCACACTTTATTTGTGGTTCCCTTCTTGTAACAAGACATAACAAATGTTGTCCCATGACAATTAGTCCTTGAACTAGTTTTACTTAATATTTTTGTCAGTGAAGGAATTCAGAAAGGTTGATAAACATGACAGTAGAATTCAAAGCCATCCTGAAAGAACTGGGAAATGTTCTCTCAGAATCTGGCTCAAATCTACCAAAGAAAACAAATTGGTGACTGATGTGGGGGAGTCATGGAGAGGGTGAACACAATTCTGAGTTTCCAAGGTGAAGTGACAGCCAGGGGCGAAGGGAGGAGATTTCATAGCACGGGGTAGGCAGAGTTACAGATCCAGTCTGTCTGAAAAAGATATGGGCGTTCTGGTGAACTCTGGCCTCCATATGGACCAACAGGGTGCTATGGTTGCCCCAAAAGCTAGCAAAACATTGAGCTGCACTGGGAAAGACTCAGGTCCAGAAAGGAGGAAATCAATGGACTCTTGATGTGGTCAGACCGCCCCCTCCCTTGACCATGCCATATTTTAGGAAAGACAGTAATAACTGAGAGAACTCCCAGAGGAGGGTAAAGGGTGGCAACAGGTCACCTGAGCGCTGGCCAAAGGGCCTTTGGAGGCTTAGCCTCAGCAAGAGAAGGGACAGGAGAGCTGTCTTTAAGTATCTGAAGGTCTGTCACAGATAAGAAGACTTAAGATGTTTGGCCTCCAAGGAAAAACAAGGAGGCAAGTGCAAAAGTGGAAAAGAAACGCAGATTTAAGCTCAGGGTAAGAAAAACTTCTAATCAGAGCTGTCCCAAAGGATGGGCTGCCTCAGCTGGTGATAGGTAACCCCTCATTGGAGATTTCCAAAGGCTGGGGGACCCCTGGTCAGGTAGGTTATACTGTGGATTCTTTTGGGGGTGAGTCTGATCAGAGAGCCACTGAGGTCCCCTGCACCTCTCTCCAGCCCCTGGAGCCATCACTATAGGTACCTTTCTTGGAGTGCTCCCACGCTTTCTTGAGGTGTGATCAGGATGTGATCAGAACTGCACATAGTACGGTCGCACTACGGTGCTTCCTGCTGTCACATCTATCCTCTCCTTGAAATTCTGTGGCGTGTGGCCACCGCCCAGCTCCTGGTTCACACACAGGCCACGGCGCTAAGTATTGGATGTTCCACATTAAGTCCCAGACCCCTGCCTGAGGACAGAGTCCGTCACTCTCAGTAGCGCTCCCCCTAACTATGTGACTTCACGTTTGCTCATCCTCAAGCTCCTTGCCCACCTTCATGTGAGAACTTTCTGAAGTTTCACTCTACAGGCTAAGGCTTTTTAGCAACCGATGGGCTTAACAGGTAAACTTGGGGAGTACCCTGGGCACTTCCTGATCCTAATCAATTATAATAATGCCAAATAAGACTAGTCCTACTACTGATCTTGGGCAAATCACCGTACTTTCCTAGCTAAAGAAATACCCATTAATCCACACCTTTTGCCTCCAGCCTCCCAGTCAGTTTTCTATCCATGCAGTATAAAGGATTCCACTGTGACAGGGCTTGTTTGAGAAATAAACAAACAAACAAACAAATAAATAAATGGCTCTGATGCTGAATCTCCCAAGTCTGTGAATACACCAACTGGTTCCTCCTCATCTACCTGAGCAAGGAGCACACTGCAGGGGAACTGGTATTTATCGAGTATGGACCTAGGTGCAGGGACTGGCCCAAGTGCTGCCCTGAAGCAGGACTTAGCCTGCACATGCCTGAGAGAAAACAGCAGAGGAGATGATAAAATCTATACAAAGTATTGGGGTGGGGTGGGGATGGTGTTGATGGAAGGACAACTTTTGTGGAGATCCAGAAAAGCCTACAGAAGGTGGCTCTATCCTGTGCTTGGAAGGCAGATAGAGATTCTCTGAGGTGCCACATGCCATCGGCCCCATTTCAAGCCCTGCTAATTCTATCTTTGTCTCTAGAGCATGCCCCCTTTTCTCCTCTGACACTGTCACTCCCCGGGTACAGGCCCCTCCCCACCTCATGCCTGACAGGTCTGCCAGCCTCAGGCCCACCTCTACTCAGCTGTCAAAGTGATCTCCCTAAGGCGCAGGTCTGGCCCCATCATCTACCCCTCTCCATTTGATAAACTCCAACAGCTCCCTCTTATCTAGGGGATCAAACAGGAACTCTGGTTTGGCTTTTGGAGATCTTCACCTGATGGCTCCCTGCTACATTCCCAGTTTTCTCACCCCTCCTTCCCCTCCAGCACCACTGCTCTGCACGGAGCGTGTGCCATCTCCACCTGAGTGTTTGCAATGGCATTCCTGCACAACTGGGACTCTCCCTCCTCTTCTGCACCTTCCAGGGAGGCTTGGCTGAAGTCCTACCTGCCACAAGGAACATCTCCTAGTCCCCCTTAATCTCTCGATCTTCTCGCCTCCCTCAGGGCGGATCTTCTCATTTAGCCCATTTCTATCTTACTGGTACACAGTTGTTTACATGTCGTCTCTTCTGCTACCCTGTGAGCCTCCAGAGAGCACCGACTGTTATTTGCCTCTCTTTGTATCCCCAGAGCTCAGCTCAGTGCCTGGCATACAGAAGGTACTTAATAAATGCTTGTTGCTTTGACTTGCCCTCAGATGGAATGTCATGTATGGAGAACAGGAAGTCTATTTGTTTCGCTGGCATGTAGAAGGCTTAAGTAATATGAAACACTCCAAACCAGCACTGAGAAATGCAAGTTAAAACAATTTTAAGGCTTCACCGAACATCCATCAGATTGGTAAAAGGACAGAAAAGGACAATGACAACCCCTGGGAAGGGTTGTGAGAGGACAGCAACATGAACGTGATATTGATGGAGTTGCAGATTGATTCAGCCACTGCCGAATAGACTACACCCCAAAATCACTAGACTGTGCATACCTTTTGATCCAGTAACACCACTACTAATAAACTATAATATGCATACACCCCAAAGAGATCAAAGAAAAGGAGAAAGGAACCATATGAACAAAAACATTTGTAGCAGCACTTCTTTGTTGTAGCAAAGACCTGGAAACAAAGTGGGTGCCCATTAAGTGGGTAATGGCTGAAGAAGTTACAGTACATGGTATATGGTATATGACTATAACGCAATACTAGTAAGCTATGAGAAATGATGAAAGGGCCAGATTCAGAGAAACCTGACAGCAAGTGAGAAGAGCAAAGCCTGGACAGACAATGACTACAGCACTGTTCAGGAAAGCACCTGGGAAAGACTTCAGGACTCAAATGAATGCAACGACTGATCACAGTCTGTTCAGAGGACCATGACGGCAAATCGTGCCTCCCACCTGTGGGCAGAAAGGCGATGGATGCAGGGAGGGCCAATGTGTGGATCTGTTTTGCTTCACTGTATTTGGGACAAGGGGAGCTTTGGGAAGAGTCAAAGAGGGATTGGGAGATTGTGTTGGGATGCCAGAAAAGAGAAGAGAACATCAATGAATAACCAAAAAACCCAAAACAAAACACCCCCACTCCCACAAGAGAGTAGAAGGAAGTTCAGAAGGGGACACAGGTAGGCAGGGCAGTGCTCAAACGACACTGTTAAATCTGAGCTAGACTTAAAAGACCAGCTGGACCTAGTGAGAATTCCTGGTTTCACACGCTGTTCTCTTGTTCTGTTTTCTGTATGTGGGGTGATGTTCAAGTTTGTTAATTGTTGTCAGGTTCACAAAATAGGAATAAATAAACCAGGCATTGGACTTTGATAAGCAAAAAAAAAAACACACTGGGAAAAAATCAAAAACTTCCTCCTCCTCCTCCAATGGAGAACAGAAACCTCATCTACCAGCAAGGCAGTTAACAAGGAAATGTATCTGAAGGACGAGGGGGGCCTCCAGCTCCTACCCAGCCCTAGAAGCCTGAGACGGGATAGGACAGGGGGGGCCTGCGGGTAGATTCTTGAGCAGTCAGCACCTGAAGGTATCATACCCAATCCAACTTGCTACTTGCACCCCTGCACCTACTGAGGTGGGCAACCATGCATCCAATGAATGGCCCACCGCTGTAGGGAGGGCAGTGATGAGACACCTCTGTCTACTACCCATCTGACCAAGGCTCACATTGTGTCCCATGACCTCCAGAGTCCAGACCCCAGATATGGTGGACTTTGGCACTGGGACTGTACCAGAAACCTTGGGCTGACCCAGGAGTAAGTGAAACAATGGTCCACTCTAGACTCCAGAGGTGATCACCAAAGATAAAAGCCCCATGGGTCTGAGTGGGGAAACTGGGCGGCCTGCTCAGATCTTTGCCTGGAACCTGGGGAAGATGACCACTGCCAGCTGGATCCTAGGCCAGGCTATCTCTCTAGTACCCAGGACCACTGGGAAGTACCTAGTATAGCAGATACTGGCAAGCTGCCCCTATGAGAACTGTCTGATAAACCTGGCCCAGTTCTGGTCAAGGATCTACTTCTGGACCAGGCCCAAGACAGTGGCCGAAAAAGTGGCCTTCCTGGCCTCAACTCCTCCTGTTCTGGCCCTTCCCCCAAGGCCTCCAGCTCTGCCTCTGGAATCCCTGGCTTACTCTAAGGGTAGGCTCAGATGCTGCCTCCTACAGGGGGCCTTACCCGACCCCAATAGGAGCGCTCTTTCCCCTCTGAAACGACTCTGAGTGTACTTTCTTGCACAGTTTCTTGTCCACAGGCCTTCCCCTCCATTAGACTGTAAATTCTTTGAGAGTAGAGTTGGTGCCCTCCTCCGCCCATGGCCATGAATTCACTCATCAGCTTCCAGGAGGACAAGAACTCTTTTCATCCTTGAGCTCGTATGCTCCCCGCTTTACAAAGCACCTTATACCCAGAAAGCCCTTAAAAAATACTGCAGAATGAATGGCTTTGTCCTTCTGTCCTAAGTGCCTAGCACAGTGCTTAGAATACTTAGAAATAAAAGAGGAAAATTAAGAATAAAATCAAACACACCAAACAAAATAAAAGAGGAAAAATTAAGGATAAAATCAACCCACCAAACCCCCCATTTGAGCTAAATTTACCTGTAAGACTTTAACTCCTCCTCCTCCTCCTCCACTTTTTACTAAATCTGTTAATTGCTGGGAAAACCAGTGGCAATTTTCACCCTTTGGTGGAAAGGTGGTAGAGATATTAATTATGAGTGTGAAGCTGCTAGATGACAGTTGAGGGAGCACAATAATCAGACCCTGGCAAAGTCTCGACTTCTCCCAAGGATTCCCTTTGCACGGATTTCGAGGACTTTACAAGTTCTCTTACCAGCTGGCTCAGAACACAGACACTTTTCTGGACAGTTTCTCTGGTTACGTCCGCTTGCCTTACTTTGAGTGCCTATTAAAAAAACAAAGCCATGAGACTCTTACTAGAAATAATCAAAGAGCAGCACAGTGTAGCAGAAGGAATGCTGAACTGGGGTATCTGACGATCCGGGTTCAAATCCTTGTCCTAACATTGGATGGCTATGCAACCATGGGTAAGTCACTGACAGGGATGGGGGAACCTTCAGTCTTGAGGCCACATGTGGCCTTCCAGGTCCTCAGGTGTGGCCTTTTGACTTAGTCCAAGTTTTACAGAACAAATCCTTTTATGAAGGGGATTTTTTTTTCTGTGAAGTTTGGATTCAGTCAAAGGCTGCACTTGAGGACTTAGCGGACCACACGTGGCTCGAGGTCGAAGGTTCCCCACCCTTGTAACCTTTCTGGTCTCAGTTTTCTCAGCAATAAAATGGGTATGGTGATATGTGTTCTCCTCACATCAAAGATTCTGAAGAAAGCATTTTATAAAGACCAGAGATGGAGAATTGTGAGTTGTTACTATCTCAACAACCCTGTGAGATGCGCAACCCTCTGTGACAGGGATTTTGCCTGAAGCTAAAAGGTGTCACAGAGTAAGTGGTAGAACGCAGACAAAAAAGTTGATCTTTCACATTGAGCCCAGCCCAATTTCCATTATGCTACCAAGGGTGTAGGCACTAACTGGCCTCCCCTCTGCTCTAAGGCAATGAAATCCAAAGTCAATCCCTCCATCAATCGATATTTACTGAGTGCCTACATGTGCCAGACACTGTGGGGAGTGTAGCTCCCTTTCATCTCCAATACTGAGGGGCTCATATGGCCCTTTCTCATCCGGGATGAGAGACATACTTTTTCCACTCAGGAGAACAGCATTCTCTCCTAGTGAATCCCTCTTAAATTTCTGTTGTCTTGGCTGTCCACAGACTAACCATGAGGACCTCCACAAATGTTCAAACCATGACCAGTGTGTTGGAACGTCTTTGAGGATCCCTTTGGAGGACCACAGACTGAGACCACCAAGGGGGAGCCAACTCTTACGACTGGTGGGCTCTTCCCCCGCCCTCCCTTCTCCACTCCTCTCCTTAGTAAATGTTCCCTTCTGGAAAGGGTTCCTCAAATGAAGACCCGACCGCCCCAACCTCCCCCCCCCCCACAGTAAGTCAAAGGCTCCCGGCTCTTGCAAACTGATCTGAAGAGGAAGCTCCTCTTCCCCATCAGGACTGTGGCCTAAAGGAAGGATCCCTGGTCTTTTTTTCCCCAGTGCAGAATGTTTGCTGACTTGACTGGATCTCCAAGCTAATGAGATAGTTCATCCACAGCTTATGGATGAAATTTTTTCAGGTGTCTTCCCAAAGCAAGTCCAATTTCTCTGCTCTGCTTGGGGCAATGACTGTAGGCCAGAAGCGAGCAAGTTTCTAAGCTCTCCCTTGGACTCTGGGAACCTGTGGGCACAAGCTCCATGGGCAGCTGCAGCCTGGCTACGTGGGGCAAGCCAACAGTGCCCCCCCCTCTGTCTCATAGCTCACCTTCCTCCAGTGATTACTTGGCCCATGCCATCTCTTCTTAAATGCTTTTCTATCGCTCCCCCCCACCCTATCTAGAAAACCCTCCCTTAGAACAAAGACTGAAAAAGAGGGGGAAAAGCAGTGTGGCAAAGCTAGCCAGCAGATGTCCCCTGAGTGCGAGAACATATGCATTACTCTGCACCACTGGCCCCTGCCTTCATGAAGAAGGGGAGAAGTGTTTGCTTACAGGTTTTCTGGGGCCACATCTGGCTGCCCTGGTGGCACAGCACTGTTTCCTTTTTTGTTCTTTCCACTTTTAGAAGCTTAATCTGGAGGGCTCCTCGCTTCCTGGTGGCCCAGTCACAGAATCCCACTAATGGAAAAGCGAGCAGGGATACCCTTTCCATTGCTGGAGAACTGAAATTATTTACTGGCAGGATAGTAGCCTACAGGGAACTTCTCCCTGTCGGCCGGTACAGATTTCTTTTCTCTCCCAGAGAAGGGTCCCCAGGCAAGCTGAGGAAACATGGCGTCAAGGGTGCAGGCCCACTCTTGAGTCAGTGGGGACCACCGCCAGGGACGTCCCTGAAGCTGACCACCCTCCTCTCAAGGCGCCAAGCTTCCAAGTCATGTGGGAGCAATGATGAACTCCCAGGACAATTCATCTTTGGGAAACCAGTCTCATGAGTGTGTGGGTACAAATGGAGGAAGAGGCATCAGAAAGTACAGAGTTTACTTTACTTTGTTCAGATTTCTCTGAATGATCTCCTTCTCTGTAAAATGGAGATTACTCCCCTATTACTGGTGCCCTGCTCCCCCCACCTCTACCTGAGAGCAACTGAACAGCAAAGAGGTAACAGAGGTAAAGCATGCAGGTAAAGTGAACAGGCATTCTGCAAACTTCAGAGCTCTACAGACCTGCCAGATAGCAGCAGCACTTAGAAGTATCTTTACAAGTATATAAGGAAAAGCTACTGGTTAATGCCCGACAGGTCAGATTTCTTTTCGTATCAAGGCCACCAATGAACCTGAATTTGATTCCTCACAAAATTCTAAAACATTTCATTAAAAGATGGATTGTGAGAATGTAGAGAGCTGAAACCAGCATGGCGTGCATTTCTATGTCTGTATATCTCTGTGTGTGTGTGTGTGTGTGTGCACACGCACATGTGCGATGGTGGGGCAGTCATCAAGAATGCATCACGTCAGGTCAAAGCATATGAGCAGGCAATTTTCAGAGGCAGCAATCCAAAGTATTGACAGCCATGTGAAAAACATACTCTAAATCACGAAGAATTAGAGAAATGCAAATTAAAACCACTCTGAGGTCCCATCTCACACCCATCAGACCCGCAAAGTTGACAAGAGGGGAAAATGATGAATGCTGGTGAGACTAAAGAAAACAGGGCCACCAATGTACTGCTGGTCCAGCCATTCTGGAAGACAATTTGGAACTACGCCCCCACAGCTATTAAACTGCATATCCTTTGATTCAGCAATACCACCCCTAGGCCTAGACCCCCAAAGAAAAAGAGGAAAAGGGCCCACATGTACACAAATATTCAGAAATTGAGGAGATACCCATCAACTGGGGAATGGCTCACTAAGTCATGGTACATGAATGTGATGGAATACTAGCGTGCCATAAGAAGAGACGAACAGGAAGACTTTGGAGACAACTGGAAACATTTGTATGAACTTACGCAGCATGAAGTGAGCACAATTTATACAGTAACAACAACACTGTGAAGACAAAAGGCTCTGAAAGATTCAGGAACTCTGACTAGACAGTTTCAGAGGGCTTCAAGATGAAACATGTTCCCACCTCCTACTAGAAAGGTGATGGCGATGACGTCAGAGTCGAGTTTGAGACATCTGTTCTGGGACATGACTAATGTGGGAATCTGTTTTGCTTGATATATATTTGTGTGTGTGTGTGTGTGTGTGTGTGTGTGTGTGTGTGTGTGTATTTATAACAGGGGCTTTGTTTCTATGGCTTTCTCAAGTATAGGCAGAAGGGGAGGAAGATAAGGACAGAAGTATAAGAGAGAAAATGTGGATCTGAAAATAAAATAAAATAAAATTTAATTTAATTAAAAAAGTGCATCATGTCAGATTAAACAGATTTCATTTCATAGGTTTTTCATAGGGTTATAAACAGTTTCACACTGTTTAGCAGTAGACCCGATTTATCTCATACATATATACAAATGTTTTCAGGAAAACATTTGAAAAGTTTTTCAAGCTAACATTTTGGACAAGATGGTGAAATGTGGGCTCGAGGATGGTACAGTTAGGTGGATTTGGAAACTGGCCAAATGACTGAACCCAGAGAGTGGCTATTCATGGGCCAATGTGAAATTGGGGAAAAGTCTCTGATGAAAAAGCCACGGGATCTGTCTTGGGGGGCTGGGATATTGACCATTCTTAGTATGACTTGGGTGAAGGCATGGTTGGTGTGCTCATCAACTTTGCATTGGTCACAAAACCATGATGGATGGTTAATATGATGGATGAGAGTGTAGGATCTACAGAGTCCCAAGAGGGTGACCATGGGACTGACTCTAGGAAGACAAAATTTTAAAAGGGATAAATGTAAATTCATATACTTGGGTTCAAAGAATAACTATATAATTATGGAATAGGGAAAGTGTGACTAGTGTCAACAGGAAATAACAACTTCATGAAACACATGAAAACTAGGTTTATTATAAGAGAAATGAACATGCATGTGGAACCCAAAGCCAGAGCAAAGAGTTCATAGTCCTTACAGAAGTTTGCATATTTATGACAGCAAGACAAAGGAAGGAGGTGATACCAGAATCTCCACCTAAAGGGGTGTGGCATGAGACAAAGGTGCAATAAAGGTGGGAAAAGGACAAAACCCAAAGGGGAGGAGCAAGGCGAGGGCAAAAGCCACATTCTTTTCCCTTGAAAACTGCTAGATCATGAAGATAGATGGTTTCCTTATCTACAAGGCCAAGCTGCACAAGCCTAGTGGAGACTGTCTGGCACCTCTCTTGACTCTGAAGGACACACAGGGTGTCCAGTCTGGGATGCCAACAACAAACTATGTCAGCTGGGGGAGGGGGAAGGGAGGCCCTTCATCTTTGTCACATTCAGGGCCTCTGGCACGCTCTAGGTCCAGTGTTTCTGGAAAGTACAACAACTCAAAAAAACAAGTTCAGGGGACCCCTTTACCAGTCCTTAACATCCCCCTATGTCCCATCCCAGGTTGGGCTAGACAACAGTTTGTAAAATATATATATATATATATATATATATATATACGTATATTATATGTAATATATAAATACATGTAGGTGCTTTAGCGGCCTGCCAGCTCAGTATGGAGGGAGAAGACTGCTGACGCTCATTTGCCAGGCTAGATGACATAGAAGGTGGTTAAAATGTAAGCAGAATAAGCAGTGGGCAGCAGGGATGCCCTCAGAGTCACAGAATCCAAGAAAGGAGACAGCCACAAAACCTCAGCAACGGCACAATGTATGGGAACAAACAGCATGACCTAGAAATCCTAAGACAAGGAGTAAATTTGACCTCACAGGCTTTGGCACAATGGGACTCATGACGAGAATGTGGCCCTGAACAGGTAGCTGTATTTGAAAAGCCAAGGATCAGCAAAAAGACAGGGCGAAAGAAGGGCGGTTAATAGCACTGTAGTCATGTGAAGAGATTCAGGGACCAGGAAGGGGAAGCACAGCAGGGAACATCTGGGTGAATGCTCATCAGAGTAGACAGAGAGAGGAATGGAGGAGGAGAGTGGGAAGCAGCCTGCAAGCCCAGCATGAAGACACACTGGAGTGGTAAGGGGGGACCTTATCCCAGACGGCAGCTAGACTGCTATTACTGCCAAAAAGTAGAGGTGCCGACCATCTCTGGGCTTGCCTTGAGGAAGCCAAGGGGGAAACAGCTACTCTGGACCCAACACTCACCCACATGGAGGAAGTGGTGGTTAAAGTAGACAGGAGAAAAATTTTAGGGGAAAGTGACCTTCCTTCCCACCCCCCATCTCAAAATTTGTGAAGGAAAGGAAACCCAGGTAGAGTCTCCCAGGCACCACGGCAGATTTCAAAAGACGCAGAGAAAGAACATGTAGCATCCCCTGGAGCAGAATTCTATAGGCGAAATCATCTTAGGAGGCATGGGAAGCTCTTGAGCACGAATTTTGAAGCTAAGGAGAAACCATACCAGTGAGAAGAAAAAGGGAGACCTGTCTAAAGCAACCAAGCCAAGCAGATTCAAGAGCAATAGGATGAATACAAGAGTGCGACACAGGTTGATAAAAAGGGTGTCATGAGAGCGCAAATAAGGATGACGCGACAGACAACAAAACCCGGGTCTGGAAGCCATGCTGAGGAAAGGGACAGAAGAGAAGGGCCTGTGCTGAGCAGCCACAGGGACGAGGATGGGCTTCTTGCTTGGTCTCTACTTCCTCTTTCAAGAAGAATCCATTTTGGACCGGAACCACTAAAGCACAAATAGCGATGGGGGCTGAAACTGAAGGAAAGCAAGGAGGGAAGGAATCGCCTGCTGCCTGCTGCTCCCAGCGCCTACAGGCAGCTCCTCCAGGAGAAACACCGTCAATGACCGTCCGAGGACTGAGGAGAACAGGAAACGCTTCCGAGGGCTGAAAAAGGGCAAATAACCAACTTTGCCCAAGAGGGCCAACCTTGGGATTTGAAGTCCAGGCCAACAGATCTAGACTTTCGGCCCCAGCATAACCCCAGAACATAAGAAGTGCCAGAGAAAGCCTGGAGAAGGAAGCTGCCATCCCAAGAAGCCAGCCTGGCTTCCTCAAGAGCAGCTCATGGCAGACTAGCCACATTTTTGTTTTTTAGACAGTTACTAAACTGGCAGAATAGGAGAACAGGGGAACAGGGAAGAGAGAGTTTGTCTTGATTTTAGCTAAGCGTTTTACAAAGCCTCTCACACTTTTCTCATGGAAAAGGTGGAGCTGTGGCCACAAGAACAGCAGATTTGGGAGGATTCAGAAAAGGCTCCTTGGCCAGACTCAAGGAGGAGTCCTTAATGGTTCCATGTCAACTTGGAAGGATGTCGACAGTGGAATGCCCTGGGAATCTGTGCTGGGTCCTGTGATGTCTAACATTTTTATCAAAGACTTGGCTGAAGGCATAAATGGTTTGCTTATCAAATCAGCAAATGGCACAAAGCTAGGAAGCACAGCTACCATGAGATAACAGACTCAGAATTAAGATAGCGATTTTGACAGATTGGAGCACCGGGCTCAATATGATAACATGAAATTAACTAGGGACAAATGGCAGTTCCTACATTTGGGTCACCGAGAAATCAAATTCACAAGGATGAAAGAGGGGAAAGGCGGCTGGACAGCAGCTTCTCCAAAAGGCCCTGGGGCTTTAGCGCACTGCAGACTCAATATGAAACAACAGTGTAAAAAAAAAAAAAGCTGATTCAATCTTGGGCCACATCAGGAGAGGCACAGTCTCCAGACTCAGGGAGGTGACAGTCTCACCATGCTCTGCCCAGGTCAGACTATGTCTAAAATGGCAAAACTGGCAAAAAAAGGACAATGGTAAGAGTGAGAGAGGGGTCAGGTGTGGATACCACATTTGAAAGACATTAAGTGAAACAGTGTGTAGGGATGGAAAAGCAGGATGGCAGAAGGCCTCATGCTCCTGCAAGATCAGGATCGGGTGAAGGGAAGAATTGGACACATGTGGTCTGCATAAGAAAAGACATGGTGGGACAGGGGGGCTGCCTGAACATCTGCCCTCAGGCTTATTCTATTTCCCCTCAGAAGGCAGAACTAGAATGGGAAATGAGGCCAGAAGGCAGGCTGGAGCCAGACTGTGAAGGTACTTCAGTGCCAAACTAAGGAATCTGTGTTTCAGTCTACAGGCAATGTAGGTTTGGGAGCAAGAAGGAGGGCCCAGTCAGACCTTCCTTCAAAAGATCACGTGGTAGTTATGTAGATGGCGGAGAGCACAGGGGTGAAACTGGGAAATAGGTGAGGAAGGCTTGAGAAGAGATAGAGGTTTTGTGAATGGAGAAGTGGGGAGGGAAGTGAGGGATGCTGCTGAGGCAGAAACAACAGGAACCTTGGAAACTTTGGTGTGAGGGCTGTGAGGGAGAGGGGACCACAGAGAATGGAGGACAGTTGTACATTTCATCCAGGAGCCACACTAGCAAGGGAACTAACAGTCAAACTTTGGCTTTGGAAATGAGTGAGAAGATACTGAAACTTTAAAACGGTGCTTTAAAAAAATGTCTACTCCATCGTTCCAATTACAAACCAAATCCCAGCAATGGAAAAATCCAAGGACACAAAAAAATCACACAGCAGGGAGGGACTCTGGATGTATTTTGGATGGAAATGAAGTACTTTATAAAATATAAATTATAATAAGAATTTACCCGGGGTATATCAAAAAGCTTAGTGCAATTTGAAGCTATAAAAGCCCTCGAGGCACTAAGACTTTTGGGACATGCTGTATACCACACATACTTTGCCTCATTCTGAACTCAATTTAATGCTACACCACAGAGACTTGGAAAAGTCCTACTCCAGTGGCCTGCGTACAGGCAACCTTGTTTCTAGATAGATTTCTTTTTTCTGTCGATATACATACCTTGGCTTCAATCTGTCTGTAGCAAGAAACACCATATACTGTCATTCCATTTCCATTTCTGGGGGGCAGGTGGAAAAACACAGTATCTAAGAGATAAGCAGACAAATTCGCTTAGATAAATTGTCTTCAATTCCAAAGGACTTATGAAAAATGCTATCCACCTCCAGAGAAAGAACTGATGGAGTCTAAATGCAGATATAAGAATACTTTTTAAACTTTATTATTCTTGGGTTTCTTTTGGTCTGCATTTTCTTTTGCAACATGGCTAATGTGGAAATACGTTTTGCATGACTGCACATGTACAATCTATAACAAATTGCCTGCCTTCTTAATGAGGGAGAAAGGGAGAGAGTGAAAATGGGAACTCAAAATTTTAAAAAAAGAATGTTAAAAATTTTTATTTACATATAATTGAGAAAAAATAAAATAAAAATTGGATGCAGATAAACAGTCTTCAATAACATGAGATGATGAAGTTATACTGATCCTAAACACTGTTGTTTGCGCTCTTATTAAAGCTGCATTTCTAGCATCATTATGGCAACTGCATTTCTCACTACAGCATAAGTGAACAGACCATACCCCCACAACCCTTTGTGGGCTGAATTACCCCAGGTTAAAGCTTTGGCACAATTTGGAAATAATTTTCCACATTTAATAATATTATTTTGAAGTAAACCAAAAGAAATTGAAATTCAGTCTTTTGAACCTGGAATCCGCTGTGCAAACTGCTCATTAGGTTGGGAAAGGGCTCCGAGCTGGAGTGGCGTGATTATTGTCAACTTCACGTTCGAGGCCTTTTTCATTCCCCAGCACAATGACAGAACTTGGCAGGAGCCACTCAACAAGGCTGTGATTACAGCCCTCCCCACCATGACCTCGAGCTTCAAAGAAAGGAAAAATCGCTTTTCCTTAGAAAAAGGTTGGGGCCCCTGACAGGAGAAGGTGGGAGGCAGGAGGCAGAGGGGGGAGGGGAGGAAGGCCAGCCAGCCTGGGAGTTCACTTCTGGCCTGGGGTGGGGGGTGGGGGTGGGGGGTAGTTTCAGCCAGAATATTGGCTGCCTCACCCCACCCCACCCCCATACCAGCTCTGTGGAGGGACTAGAACCACATGGCCAAAGTGACGGTCAGGAAAGGCAACAAGATGGCTGCTTGTGGAAACGCCGAGGAGTCCAATGATCTGCAGACGGTCTGTGCCTGCAAAGACCGTGATTCTTAATTCTGGCAGCAACGTCTTTGCCTCAGACCAATTAAGAGAAAACAGATTTGGGTTCCAAGATTGTTTCTCTTTGGTTTAGAAAAAACAAGACCAAAGCAAAGCCCCCCAAATGTCTCTCAGGACAGGGACCGCTTGCTCTGGGGCCATGCTCAGCAGGCTTTGATTTGCCCAGGGTAAGTGAGCAGCACAGGCCCCTGCAGGCCTCAGCAGATGCCCTTTACTCATCTTGGCGGCCAAAAGACCCAGGCCCTTGGGGCCACAGACACCACCTGCTCCAAGCCTTTCGCGCCTGGTCAGCCAGCCCGGTCAGAGTCAGCACCGAGAGAGAGAGAGAGAGAGAGAGAGAGAGAGAGAGAGAAGCCAGAGCCTTCCTGAATGTCCCACTGGAGAAGGCTTCATTGGTGGCCCTAACACACTCTCCTGAGCTATACCACTGACATCCTTTCATCCACATCATGCAAGCGGAAAATGGAAACCGAGGCACGTCGGAGGCACTGCCCCATACCCATGAGAGGTGCCATGATCTAGCAGGGTTGGGCTTACAGTCAGAAGGTCTCACTACCGGGGGAGGCTGGGCTCTGGAGGACTCCTTTGTCCCTACATCTTCTCCCTACCCTGTATCATCACACCAACTCTGTGTCGGGACAGGCTGGGGAGAACTGTGTAATCTGTTCTTTGTATCGCCAGCACCTGACACACTTCCTTGCACACAGCAGTGACTCAATAAATACTTGCTGAATTGAATCAAACTCATTTAGGGGGCTGTGATAAAGACCAGCAAAGGGGAAGAAAGGCAGGCAAGGAGTGTCTGAAAAACCTATAATATGGTTCGAGAGTAATTACAAGGAAAATGGAATAAAACATCAATATCTTTCTTGGATAGGGATAGAAATTCTGCCCAGCATGCTCCCTGGATGCCATGTGCAGCAGGACCTTAAAAGGAAGGAAAGGAGGCAGCAGAAAATAATGACTTGGGAACTGGCTGAGCCACCCTGTGGCTGCCTCCCCGCCCCCCCTCTTCACACCAGCCACAGGGCCAGGGGCAGATGAGTGGTTCCAATCCAGGCTTTGTTCCTTGGAGGCCTCAAAAACACAAATCCAGGCTTCGCTACTCCCTGCTTAGGTGGATTAACACTTGGCACAGTCTGTGCTAAGATCCCTTGAGGAGTTCATAGGCTTCCTCCGGCAACCATAGAACTTATTAGGAAATATCTGAGTGTTATGGGCATCTCAGCAAAACTCTCCAGTAGTTTCTGAAGCCATGGTACTATCTTCCATGGCTCGAATGCAGGACACCCCAGCTTCTCCACAGCAGGCCTGGCCTCCCTTACCTTCCTGATAGTTGTGAGCTCCATCAGGCAAGGCAAGGAAAGGCAAATACTTCCATTCCTCAGGTAAAGTGTGGCTGTCATGGCTTTCTCCGGTGATCAGGGGAGGATAGGAGAATTCCACCTAAAAGAGAAAAGAATGAGTTAGCCAGAAAATTGGTGATCAACAGGACACTCTGGCAGACTGATTGTTGTTCAGCTCTGTCCCACTCTCTGTGACCCCATTTGGGGTTTTCTTGGCAAAGATACCGGGATGGTATGCCATTATTTTCTCCAGCTCATTTTACAGATGAGGAAACTGAGGCAAAGACAGTGAAGTGTCTGCAGCCAGATCTGAACTCACGAAGATGAGTCTTCTTGAACCCCAGCCCAGTGCCCTATTCACTGTGCCACCTAGCTGTTTCTCTGTTGATAGACAGCACAGACAGGTAGACTGACAGAACATTTACTAAGTGCTTACTCTGTGCTGGGTGGAGGCAGGTAGGTGGCACAGAGTGTCAACTCTGGAGTAAGAAGGACATGAGTTTAAATATGGCCTCAGACATTTCCTAGCTGTGTGACCCTGGGCAAGGCACTTAGCCCTGTTTGCCTCAGTTTCCTCATCTGTCAAATGAGCTGGAGAAGGACATGGTGAACCACCCCAGTACCTTTGCCAAGAAAACCCCAAATGGGGTCATGAAGAGCTAGACACGACTAAGTGACTAAACAACAAAAACCACACAATGCGCCAGGCACTGCGGCACAGGCCGGGCAGAAAGAAAAAAGGACAAAGGTCAGGGGAACAAGGAAAAGCAGAAAGCAGAGATCGAGGGAAGGGAGGGAAGCAGGACGCTATCAAGACAAAAACCATGATGAAGATGCATGGAGAACGGCAGGCCGGCCTCACCCCTTTCTCCAGTGATTCCTAGGAGTCATGGAGCCAGAGCCCGCCTAGTCCTGCTTTTATCTGCTTTATGGGAAACCGGGACCGGCATTTCCTGTCCAGACCCTTTGCAGGGCACGCAGCATGCCCTGCGTGAGCAGTTCATTGCCCAAACATGTGTGGGTGAAGGCCAGCTCTTTGCTAGGTACCTAATTCATGCTAAAAGGAGATTATAAAATGAACCAGAAATTGTCTTGGCCCCAAAGCTCATGATTTAATGGGGAGATGAGATCATTCCCCCAATGCACTGGCCCATTCAGCCAACACTGCAGCTCAAACTTCCTGTCGCTCCTCCCGCTCCCCACAATTTAATGAGGAGGCAGCCAGGAAGACGTTAAGCAGCCATCAGAGGAGGGGGCCCTCCAGCCCTTGCAGAGCAGACAGGTCACCATTAGTCCTGGGGCTATCAAGAGAGAGGCCAATGAGGAAGGGGAGAGAGGGCCACACTAGTGCTGATTCTGGTACAGGCCTATTCTCCCCTCCTGGCTGGAGAGGGCAGCGCCTATGATGGTGGGGGAAGGGGATGGTAGCCTGGGCACAGAGCTGCCAGCTCACAAGAAGCAGCAGTGGGTGGGTATTTAATCATGGAAGCAGAGGAGGACTGGCAGGCCTGGGTCACCTGGGAGCCTGTGCTGATGCACTCTGCATATCAATTGTGGCATGACAGCAGAAAAACAAGGCTGGGAGCCAGCGGCACTGCTGGCCCTTGCCCTGGCTGGGGGGGGGGGAGGCTAGCACCCTTCCCTTCCCAGAGGACACAGGGTTGGAATGAAGAGAGATGGGAGGTCATACTGTCTGGGTCAGCTTAACTGAATTAGGAGCAAGGATGAACTTGCCTCCAGGCTCCTGCAGCCAAGAGTGACAGAAAACAGGGGACCTTCTGGGTCAAAGGAGCAGAGCGAAGGGGAGTCACCAAAACAATCATGCTGTCTGACCCAACGATTTTTCTTTTTCCTCTTCCAACGAGCTTCTGTAGCTGCTCTCATCTGGGAGCCACGGAGAGCTGCCTGGGGCACTGCCCTAGCATGGGTCAGAGGTGAGCCTCCAGCCACCACCGATAGAGAACTCCCAAGGTTATCATAAAGAAGGAATAAGAACACATTGGTAGGAAGGTGAAGAAGCAAAGGTCCCAAGGCAGCCCAGAAACTCCCTCAAAAACATGGCAACAACCAGACAGAAGCAGGACATGTTTTAAAAAATAACACAAAACTTCCATTGGAACTGATCACATTCTGGGGCACAAAATTAAAACTAAATGTCCAAAAGGCAAAATTTTAACTGTGAGGTTAGAGGTTAGAGGATAGAGTTAACTGTCATAAAATACGAAGTGATAAACAAGGAGGCTTACCCAAATGATAGGAGGGGCCAAGGGACGCCTTTGGCTGCGGTGCAGGGGGGTCCTGGTGAGTCGTCTCCCCCTGGAGAGAGCGGATGTGGTGCTGACAGGAGCCCCCAGAGCTGCAGATGCCAAAGAGAAGATGCAAACTCCTCGGGGGCTTCCCAGCCTGGCACCACCTTTTCTCGAGGGCCTTACCTTCACATAGTCTATGCTCCAAACTGGCTGCCAGGTGCTGTTTCCCTCCCCTCTGGGCTTGTAAGGCCTCACCTCCTTCCTCATGTCTGCCTCAACAAATCCCTAATTTACCTGAAAGCTCAGTCCAGGTATCATCTATTACAGGAGGCCTAGCTTGATCACCCCAGCTGCTCCTCCCTTCCTACCATAGCTAATGCCGCACTCCAGGAAATTACTTTGCATATATTTTGTATTTCATTTTCTAGACACATGTTGCTCTGTCCCAGTGGAATATAAAGTTCCTTGAGGGTGTGGACTGCTTTCTATCCCCAGAGCCTGGAACAAAGCCTGGCACAAGACAGCCACCTTCATAAATGCCTCTTTGATTGAACATTACACTTTCTATTCTTAAGAGTACTGCATCAGAAGTCAGTCAACAAACACTGATTAAGGCCCTACTATGTGCCACACACTGGACTAAGCAGTAGAAATACAAAGAAAGGCGAAAGACAGTCCTGGTCCTCAAGGAGCTCCCAATCTGATGAGGGACACAACATGTAAGTAAATACACAGAATAAATTGGCAGAAGACATATACAGTCTAAATGGGAGAGAATCACAGAAGGAAGTTAGAAGGAAGGGGATCAGAAAAGGTTTCCTGGGGGACAGAGGGTTCAAACAGGCATGCGACCTAAAACACTCCCCAGAACTACATTAAAATGTTAATAAACCATAAGTAACATTTAAGTTACTGTGGAGCCCACAGATCTTTTCTGTCCACACTAGTGTCCTGCCCCACTTCTGTCTGAGTCAGACCCCGCTGCAGTACAAGATGGGCTTTGGCTGGGATCTGAAGGAAGCCTGGAAGTGGAGATGAGGAGGGAGGTACTCCAGTCCCAGGAGACAGCCAGAGGAAATGACCAGAGCCAGAGTCTAGAACAGCCAAGAGGCCAGGGTCACTGGACTGAAGAGTACATGGGAGGGGAAGGATGGAAAGGGTAAGAAGACTAGAAAGGGGGGTGTATGTGTGGGGGGAGGGTGTCTTCAACCCAAATGGTCCAGAACCCCCCCTCCCCCATACCCATATTCTTTCTACATTTACTGACTGCCTTTCCCTATGGAAATACAGCATACCCCAAACTCATGGAATGTAGGCAAAGCAGAAGAAGCCAGAGGCAAACTGGATCATTAATCACTTATATTAACAAGGACAGTGGAAAAAAGAAAATCAATGAGGTGAGTTGCCAGTTAAGGATGTTGGGAAATGAACAAATTAAAGAACCAAAAACAAATGAGAAATTGGCAGAATTAAAGGAGAAATTAATAAGATGAGAACTAAACTAATCAAAGAGCTTGGTAATTTTTTTAAAAAAGATCAATAAAATTAATAAGGCCTTAGCAAATTTAATCAAAAAGGGAAGAAAATCAAATAACCGAAATCCAAAAGAAGGCAGGGCAGACTACAAGAAATGAAGATTTTTTTCTTAAGCTGATAAAAAACACTTATGTGAAAAAAAGAGTGTTGTCTGTTTGTGGAGAAACATTAGAGGTCCTGCTAAGGAAACAAGGCTGTTCATTCTTATTATTTACTATTTAAATACATTTTTAAAAAATGCTAATTATAGCAAAAGACGAAATCTAGGAAATAACTCTGAAGAGCTTTTTAAAAAACCTAGCTGTGAAAGGCTTATTTAACCTTAGTAAATGACAGCAACACAGCAGTGCCTGAATTTGAATTCAGCTGTTCTGACCTCAAATCCTTTCTCTTTCCATTTTATTATTGGGATAAATCAATTCAGCAAAATATTTTGGTAGAAGATAACCCACAAAAATCACCAGCATTTCTGTGTGTCACTCAAAAGAAGAAATTGATAAAAAGAGAAATACCATTAATAATAATGACGAGGTGGATCAAATTCTTAGATGTTAACTCATGAAGACACCCCCCCAAAGCTGTACTACCGAAGCCAACTACATAAAGACAACTACCAAAGAACTAAAGATATGAATGCACCGTGACCAAGGAAAGCCAACACAATCATGGAGGCAACACTACATGTGTCAACTGAAAGCAATACCAATCCAATCACCAACTGGCTGTGGACGAAGTGATAAGAAGGTCACTGCTCACTGTCCTAAGGGGCGCCCGGCTTCACAATCTGGGCATCCCCCTCATTCTCAGCCCTTCCTCAGATCTGACCCCTTGCTGTGTCTTAAGGCTTCCACCTCCACAACATCTCCCGGCACCCACTGGTCCCTTCTCTCTACTCACACAGACACCCCCTTAGGGCATCTTGCCCTCATCACCTCTCACCTGGGATATTTCAAGAGACTCTACTGTCTCCCTACTTGAAGCCTCTCCACAATCCAAGCTTCCTACTCTCCACAGGTGCCAAAGTGATTTCCCTACAGTTGAGAACTGACCGTGTCAGGGCCACACTCAGTTAACTCCAATGGCTCCCTATTGTCTCTAGGGTCAAAGGGGAAATCTGCTCAATAGCTTTAGCAATACTCACCCACAAAAATCAACAGCAGTTTGACATAATAAAACACAGGAGACAATAACAGAAAGGTGAGTCCCGTTCAAAAGGACTACAAACGCACAAAACCTTTAGCAGGCAATCTACCAGAGGAAACTCAGTATTTGAAGAGATTAATTTGTAAATATCCCTTAAAAATAAAGAACAATT